AGGTGGTTTACAATTGCTTATAACTCCAGCTTCATGTGGATCCAATACCCTCCTCTGGACTCCTTAGGGACCGGCACACATATGCACATACATATGTTGACATACATATAAACACAAAATAAAGTATTTTAAAAATAAAATTTGAAGCTGGGCAGGGGCGGCACACGCCTTTGATCATAGCACTCAAGAGGCAGAGACAGGTGGATCTCTGTGAGTTCGAGGCCAGCCTGGCCTACAGAGTGAGTTCCAGGACAGCCAGGACTACACAGAGAAACTCTGTCTCAATAAACCCACGGACTGCCTCCCACAAAAGTTTTTGAAACAAACAATCAAGAGCCTGGGAGCTGGGTTGGGGGGTCAAAGCTCCAGGCTCTGCGTTTGGATCCCCTCTATACCCATCCACAGCGGAGCAGTGTAGTAGCACATGCGCTCCTCTGATGAGATGGGAGGTGGGGACAGGAGAATCTCTAGACGCTGAAAGCCTGGCTGCCTGGCATCCACAATGACAAAGCATGGAGACACCCTGACTCAATAAGGTGAAAGGCAAGGACATGCTCAAGGTTGTCCTCTCTCCCACCTTTGCTATGGCGTGCATGTGTCCACACTCACATACAAAACTCTCTCTCTCTCTCTCTCTCTCTCTCTCTCTCTCTCTCTCTCTCTCTCTCTCTCTCTCTCTCCCTCTCCCTCTCCCTCTCTCTCTCTCTCTCTCTCTCTCTCTCTCTCTCTCTCTCTCTCTCTCTCTCTCTCTCTCCCCTCTCAGCTTAATTAAATATTTAAGAAGCAAAAAGCCACAGAGGCTGGGGACGCAGCTCACTGGTAGAGCGCCTGCCTAGCATGAGCAAGACCTTGGGCCAACACCCAGCACAACTCAAGAAAATGACACCAACAGAACCCCAAGGGGGATAATAGGTACATAAGTCAAAATGGCATACTGGTTCCGTGTGGCAGCCGTGGGCTCACGCTACTAGAATCTTAGCATCCTTCTTTAGCTGACCTTCTGGGAAAATGCTGCCGGCTGACAAGGACCCCTAACTCGCTGCCCTTGGCACCTTTCTTTCTCCTCAGTGCCCATGTTTCCCGGGTGACTTCCACTATGGCGGACATACCGAACACTGGGCTATAGTTCACCCGCAGAGACTGCCTTCTGATGGGATTTCTCTTACAGTCCTGTGATAACCAGACTTGGTGGATCCAGGATTCTCCCTGGCGTTTCATCTCACAGACACAGGCTCTTTCTGACTCCCTGCTCCTTACTTGGCTGGCCAGCCTGAAACTCGCTGTATGAATCAGCCTTGTTTCAAACTCGCAGCAGAGGGCTGAGAGAAAGCACAGGCATAGCTACCATGCCCAATAAGGGTCTTGTTTCCTTCCTTCCTCCTTTCCTTCCTTCCTCCTTTCCTTCCTTCCTCCCTCCCTCCATTCCTTCCTTCCTCCTTTCATTCCTTCCTTCCTTTCTTCCTCCTTAGGCCAAACCTTAGGAAATCTTCTGTCTTAGTCTCCCAAGTACTGGGAGTACAGTTCACGCACAATACCTGAGTTCTTCCAGTAAATTTCTTGCACACTGAATTCTGTATTCACAACCACTTGAAAAATCTGAATCAATTGCACTCAAAGTCTGGGGTCAGCAGCACCAGAAAGTTGACCTTTAGGGTGGGCAAGCCTGGGGAATGTTGTCAGATTTGGAGAAACCCACGGACAGAACCAATTGTACAGGGTTAGGAAAGAAGTCTGGAAAAGGGTGCAAAAACTCAGAAGAAAAAACGGACATCCTCACAGCACACACAACGGAGGACTGGGTCACCTACAGCACAGCACGTGCTCACTCACCAGACAGCCGGGTTTCCATCCCAGGTTCTTCTCTCCCCATTGAGCTTGATTTCCTCTCCTCTAGAATAGGGATAGATCTCACTGAGGGACTGGGGCTGAGTCGTAAGGATAGGGAGGAATGCATTTAATACAGTGGTCGGGCTCTGGTGATTTAGAGTAGCCACCATTAGTTACTAGGGTTTTTAGAATCTGAAAAGCAGAAGATGGCTTGTAAAAGAAAGGCACTGGGTCCATCTTAGGAGCCTGGCTTCTCTGATGACTGGATCCCCCAGGAGAAGCGAGGGTTCGATGTTTTCCTAGGGAGGTGAGTGCCTTTATGGCTTCCTGCAGGGTCCAGTATGGTGTATCTTCCTGAAGGGAGAGGAAAAGACTTGAGAATTTAAGGTGATTTCTTTTTTTTTCTCTTTCATTTTTCTTTATTAAGAAATTTTCTACTCACTCCACATACTATCCACAGATTCCCCCCTCCTCCCTCCTCCCACCCCTCAGCCCTCTTTCCCAAGCCACCCCGCATCCCCACATCCCCCAAATCGAGGTCTCCCATGGGGAGTCAGCAAAGCCCAGCTCACTGAGCCTAGGCAGGTCCAAGCCCCTTCCCACTGCACCAAGGCTGTGCAAGGTGTCACACCACAGGCACTGGTCTCCCAGAAGCCTGCCCATACACCAGGGACAGATCCTGATCCCCCTGCCTGGGTGCCCCCCAAAACAGTTCAAGCCTAACAACTGTCTTCCGTGTCCAGAGGGCCTAGTCCAGTCCCATGGGGGCTCCATAGCCACCAGTCCACAGTTCATGGGTTAAGGTGATTTCTATGCAGCAGCTTCAGACAGGCGGAGAATGAACGAACAGGCACTGGTGCTTGGAAGTGGAGTCAGGAAACCCAACAGAAGTTAATGCTAGTTTCATCCTTCTGTGTCCAGGGAACCTGAGTTCTTGTGGGTGGAGTTACTTTAAGGGGTCTTGTTCTCCTAGGGTCCAGCTTATAGCATAGGGTTTGGGGCTGTGTAGGGTCACAGCTGACCCAGGGAAAGGCAGGAATCCTCAGAAGATTCAGTTTTAGAGCCCCGTCCCGAAAACTCCCTTGCCCTGGTGATCCAGAGCCCACAGCACCCTTCAACTCTGGCCTGGCACTCAGGGTAAGCCAGTTAGCCCCCACTAGAACCAGCAGGGCCCCACAACTCTGCGTCATTTCCTTGGGGACCTTTTTTTAAGAAGTCCATTTCCCGGGAAGGAAATGGAATGACAGATTCCTTGGCTGACTCTAAGCAAAAATGGCTGTTTGTCTAAGCAGATGCTGTTTGTCTTGTTGCTCTCTCTATTCTTACACTTCACTTCTCCTCCTATGTCACAGCTGTCCACCTCTGGCCACCAGGATGCCCTGTGACCCAGCATCCCTTTCCTCCAGGTGGACAAGAACCAATACTCGAATCCTTTCAAAGACCTCGTTTGCCCCCTCCCTCTTCCCCTTCAGAGCGGGGTTACTGGGTTTTAATTCTTTCCAAATAAAAGTGGAGAAATTTACCCCCACCCACAAGTCCATCATGTAATCCTAACTTTCTATCCTTTCTTCTCTCTATTCCCACATTCCACAAACCTTCTAGATCTCCCAGTGTGGTCAGTGGACCCATTTGTCTGTGTGTCTGTCCTTTTCTTTTTCCCTCCTAACTGGGGGCATGTACACCTGGGGTGGACCCTTTGGGTGGACCACTCACTCTCTTTGTGCCAATTCCCACATCTGTAAAATAGGATGACACTTTAGAGAGCTGAGCTCCTCAGTATTAAATGGAACAGCGCAGAGCCAGCAGTTGGGCCTCACATCCTCTGGGCTTCCTAGGTTGCCTGTGCTCTAGGGGCACTAGGTAGATGACCAGCTGGGTGATACAGCTTCTGAGTTACTGTAAGGCCCAGGTAAGAAAGCAAGAGAGTGGATAAGAGCAGAGGACTCCTGAGGTCCTTGAGGCCCACAGGACTTGTTGACAGTCCCTTTTGTAATTCTCAGGTCTCTCCTTGTTCACACAGCAATGCCTTCTTTTTGTTTGACAATACTGGGGTGGGGGTGGTAGCTCCTGGGTTAACAGGTATTCCCAGCTGGCATGATGGTAGGCACCTATAATTCTGGCTACTCCAGAGGCTGAGGCATGAGGACTGTATGTGTAAGTCAAGCCTAGGTATAGTAAGACCTGCCCCCACCAACTCAAAATTATATATATAGTGGGGCCACCTTACCTTATAAAAAGAGAATTAGCCAGGTGTGGTGGTTCATGCCTTTATTCTAACACTGGAAATCATGAGGCAGGTGGATCTCTGAGTTGGAGGCCAGCCTGATCTACACATCAAGTTCCAGGGCAGCCAAGAGACGCAACTCTATCTCAAAAAACCAAAAACCTAAAAACCAAAACTAAACCAAAATTAAAAAAAAACCAAAAACCAAAACCAAACCCAAACCAAAAGTAAAACCAAACACCAAAACCAAAAAAAAAGAAAGAAAGAAAAAGAAAAAGAAAAAAATATTGACATGTCCCTGCCTAACCTAAGATAATGCCGAGTTCGTGCCTCCTATTCATTCCCTTCTTTTTCTTCGATTTACTTTACCTTTAATCATGTGTATATGTGTGGGTCTGTGTGTGTGTATGCCATGTGTGTATGGGTACCCACAGAGGTCAGAGCCGTTGAATCCCCTGGAGCTAGAGTTACAGGCAGCTGGGAGCCACCAGAGGTGGGTGCTGGGAATTGAACATCCTTCTAGACTTAACCTCTGAGCCACCTCTCCAGTCCTCACTCCAGTCACGTGTTCTTCGTACCTGATGGCACACCATAGAGCTCTGACTGGTCTGGAACTCCCTATATATACCAAGCTGACCCCAAACTCACAGAGACCATCTGCCTCTGTCCCCGGGGTTCTTGGATTAAAAAGTGTGCACACTCCCCTCTCTCGGCTGATGTCATTTTGACAGGCCTTACCTTTTAAATGGCATCTTAGAAACTGAGTCTGTGAGCCTATTAGAAGTCCCAAAAGGCTCCATGGTGTGACAGGGGCCACTGGACTTGTTTAAGTAGGTTTGGTTAAGTCTTACTGTTTCCACCAGCAAGCTTCCCCTTTTGATCTGGGGATGCAAGCATCTAGAGGTCCCCCAGCACCCATGGGAGCTGAGGGCAATCACAGAAACACTCATTTTGTATACAAAACAGCTTTATTAAAAGTCAGCCCTTACAAGGATTTTATCAAAATATACACATTTAACTGGGCATGGTGGTGCATGCCTTTAATCCCAGCACTCAGGAGGCAGAGGCAGGCAGATCTCTGGGCTTGAGGCCAGCCTGGTCTACTGAGTGAGTTCCAGGACAGCCGGGGCTACACAGAGAAACCCTGTCTCAAAAAACTAAAACAAAAAACATACATATATATTTATACACACTTTAAATAAATGCGTTAGACAAGTAACAGCCAGATACACCGGCCACAGACACAATAGAAAAGGCTTTGTAGGGAAGGGAAGCTTACTGAAGATACTTCAAGAGCCCTAGGAAGAGGTCAGGCACAGGGGTCTTTGGATGCTTGAGGGGCTGGGTCTTAGAGCTGTGAGGTAAGGGCCCTACTTCAGTTTTTTCTTTCCTTGGAAAAATGGAAATGTGTAGGAAAGTGTAGGAAATTTAAAGGCTGGAGTAGAAAGGCTCAAAATTCATTCCTAAGGCACCACAGCTCACTCCAGTCGTGAGGTTCATGGGATGGGCAAACGGGGGTCAGAGTCATTGGTCTTAGGCACAGTCAAGTGCTTGGCTGGTGCCACCTTTGTTTGGGATTTGGCCACAGGTTAAGTAGTTACAGCGGACCAGGTGGACTGCGCAAACCCAGCAGCCAGGGGCCTGGAGTCAGTCTTTAGATCAAACACATGGCTTTAGTAACACATTGGTGTCTGGCCCTGCCAGATAAGGATGCCGCAAGCCCTAAGAGAGTCCACCAGTGAGAGCAGTAGGCCTCCTGTCTAGATCTACCCTCTGAGCCACCGTGGGCACTCACTGTGGACAAGGACAGCCTGAGGACGGTCCCAGCCACTGAGATATGGAACCATCTAGAGAAACTAGCAAGTCCCAGAGCCATGCGTTTCTCTAAAAGGCACTTCAAAGCTGGTGTCATTAAAACCAAACTCCAAAAGCTGCTGGCCCACTGTCACTGGTGACAGGCTTCCCTGGTGACATTGGGCAGTGGGTAGGCAAAGAGGGAGAAGTCCAGGATATACTTAGGCAGCACATCTTGAAGCAGGGCTCGTGGGGCGTTGCACAGGTGGTAATGCAGACTTTCTGGGCTGGCCGGCCGGTACCAGGCCTGGCGGGCTGGGAACCGGACATGGGGTGGGGCCCGCACCCACTCCAGCACCTGGTTGGCATCAGCCTCCAGCCTCTCATAGGAACCCACAAAGTCGTAGTGCACAGCACATGGTTGGCAAAGGTGGTAAACGGGCATCCAGTGCTCATTCATGTGCTCAGGATCCTCATCCACCAGGTACCTCAGGAACTCTGGGAAGGTGACATCGTCCCCCGCAGGGCTGGGGCCAGCTCCAGCCCTGTAGCGCCTGACAATCTCAGCTCCATAGCGCTGCTGGTACTCCCGGATTTCCCCAAACTTGTTGCGGTAAGCAGACAGGAGGCGTTCCAAGGGGTCTCGCACAAATAGGAACTTGAAGTAATGCTGCAGACGGTAGCGAATCTCCTCAGGCCGCAGGTCTGCCAGAAACACCAGGTCACTGCGGTGGTCCATCTTGAGGCGGACATCCACGTTGTCCAGGACACCCGCCAGCACCTTCAGCACGCGCTTCCAGTTAGAGCAGGCCACTTTGGGGACGTAGCAGTAGAGGAAGCGGTAGCGGTCACTTACGAGGATGTGGCGCAGCAGGGTGCGCCGCTGTCCCACCGGCAAGTCCCAGGGGTCCCGGGGCATGCCCGGTTGTCCGCACACCGCCCTCATGGTCCGGTTTCGGACGTCCTCCCGCACTTGTAAGTCCGAGTCCCCAGCATCCAAGGATAGGCCTCCAGGCTTGGGAGCTGTCCCACGCCAGGCCGCGCCTTTGTGGCTGGGAGGGTGCAGGGGAAGGGGTTTCATCTCCGATAGGATGCCCCGCTCGATCATGAGCAGCAGCCCGCTGGAGGCCACGATCACTGCAAACATCAGCATGGACGGCAGCAACAGGGGTGGTCCCCCGAGCCCAGCACGGGCCCTACTCAATGGGGCCCGCCGAGGCGTGCGGCCCAGGGGCTCGGCGCCTTTTGGGGCCGCCAGTGGGGTTAGAGGGCGAGGGAACATGGTGATCCGGGCAGACCTCGCCGATCTCGGGGCTGCTGAAGAGGCGACAGCAGCTGGGGCTGGAGATCTCGGGAGGGGAGGGTTAGTGGGTGGCCAGCTCCCGGGTGCAGCGAGGGACCAGGGCCGGATGTCCCGCCCGGCCGCTCTCCACCCCGCCCCCCGCCCCGCCGCGATTCAGGCTCGAGGGCGGGCCCACGTTGGGGGGGCGGGGAGAGGGGCGGGTGCCCAAGTCGTAAGAGCTGTCTGGGGAGGCGGAAGGCAGACCCTTGCCCAGGAGAGGACGCTTGAGTCAGGGCCACTCCAGACCACCGGGCCTGGGGACAAAAGCTCAATGAGACCTGGAAAGCGGAAAAGAGCTGGGCTGAGGTCCCGCGTCTCGCAACACGTGCCCTCTGGGAGCTGAACATAAGACTTGCACCCACCATCCTGCCTTAAACTGCCCTGGCAGAGCAGTCCCTCCAACGATGATCTGAAGGCAGGGCGACCCATCACTGCGGGTCCAGACATAGAGATCTATCCTGACTAGAAGCACGGTCCTTAGTCGCCCTTACCTCCCTCAGTCCAGGACAGGGCCACTCTGTCAAGCCCCGGTTAATGTCTCCATGGTGACATTTTGGTTTACTAATTCCTGGGGACCACAATGCTTATCCACTGAGCAATGCTGATCTATGTCTGTAAATGGAATATCCCCTCCCAAGTCTGAAGTGGTAGGCTAACTGGGACATTCTGGGCAGGGGCTAAGGATAAGTACCTCGAGACCACGTGTGGCCAATATCCACTTCAGCATAACCTGCAAGCAGACAGAAAAGAGCCTCGTTTGGAGCTAAGATGTGCCCAGTGGCACCAGGGTGGCCATGTGGGATACAGTCAGATCCCGGAGTGCTTTGAAAGGCAGTATTCAACCAGTCCCTGCCTGAATAGAGAACATAGCTAAACACTCAAGTTTGACTCTACACGTGGGGCCCCAGGAAGGTTGTGAAATAGAGACAACAGAATTGGAGGCGTCAAAAAAGGTGCTAAAAGTTTTGAATTATTTCCTTTAGTCGGCACAGTCACTTGACAGGTAGATTCTGGGGTAGCTGCGACAAGTTTTTTTTTTTTTTTTTTTTTTATTGTTGTTACAGATTATTTTAAGGGTTTTGCCGAGGAGCCAAGGCTGACCTTCCTGCCTCGAACTCCCTAGTGCTGAGATTACAGGCATGTTCCACCATGTCTATCTCTGATGATCTTACTCTAAAACAATTTGCAGTCCCGATAGAGCCCAACACTAGACGGGAAGAGGAAATGTTAACCTCAGGACAGGTTATATACCCAGAGGGTGAGGGAAGGACCAGGAAGGACTACCCACTAACGGTGAGAAGATGAAGCTTGTTCATCAGGCAGACGAGGGCTTCTGAAGTATAAAATTGTGTATGTGTGTGTTCATGAATAGCTCTCCAAACCCTGCCACACAGAGAACACAGGGTAAGGGTCAGAACTGGGAGGTCCCGTGGTCTTCCGACTCCCTGGAGCTGGCTCGCTACAGCCCAGCTGAATGCTGAGGTACCTTCTCAGGCCACTTCTGACCCTTTACCACACTGTGGTTGGCTTCCAGTCATATATACATAGAGATTTCTGGTGATGGAATTATTTGGTACCACATCTGTCTGCAAAACGACACCTCTTAAAACTCTTGTGGGCAGCACACTGATGACTGCCCCTTTCACGAACAACCCCCGTAGAGAGCACTGGGGATGGCAGCTTATGCTCTGCCTCTCACCATCACTTCCAATGTGGATTTGGACGGGGCTGGCAGGTGGGGCCAGGATCCACAGCCACTCACCAGCCACAAACGCTCAGACCCAGTATGTGCTCCTGCTCCTATACCACAAAAGGAATGCCAGTTGCATGACTCTGAAGCCAGAAGTTTCTAGACAGACACCAAGGTTATGATAATGCTATCTTCAAGATTAACTTAAGTCCCACTCAGCTCAGTAACCAGGCCAGGGCTGGCAACCCAAGAATTCCACACACCCCGCAGCTGTGGCTACCTCGACGTTAACTTCAAGCTCCCATTTCCTGTCTTCTCAACTCTTCTCTTCTGGCTTTGCACCCTCGTTAGCCTTAGCAAGCACTTGTGCTGCCAGGGTAACTAACAAGGACCTGAAACAAGAATGGCGAGCCCCAAACAAAATCAACTCTCTCAAACAAATACCCCAAAAATGACAAGACACACAGGAAATGATTCTTTTCTAAATCAATACAATTTCTCAAATTTATTTATTTTTCTTAAAGAAGTACTTCTAATCTCTGTCAAAAGGGAGGTTAGGAAAGGTACCCCCTCCCTTGTAAACACTGAAATACAGATCTGGGAAACCAGGATCGACACACACAAAAAGTGCATTTTACAAAATATCAACTAAAATATATTTTACATGGATTATACTTCCATTGAAATTCTACCAGCTGCATTTTCATGTTCGAAAAAATATTTCCACATCTAAGAGATTCCAAAAGCATTTAACATTTGGGCAGCAGCCCCTGCCTGTTAGGAGTCTTATCTCCTTCCCTGTGGGTGAGGCTGGGCTCCTTGGCAGCACCCTAGAACAAACAGGCTCTGAAGGGGTCCACTGCCACTCTGTCAACCTCTTACTTATGCCTCGCTCTTCCAGACTGATGCCTGCTTCCAAAGAGCATATTCAATACAAAGTCTTCCCTTTGGGTTTGGGACAGGGCTTCCAAAGCAAAAATTAACCTCTGAAGCCTTCAGGCCCTCACCCAGCCTAGTTACCCATCAGGAGCAATTTATCTTCTAAGAATCAGGACCTGGACCTGGAGGTGCCAGGGCTTTGCCTTCAGGGGTCACTCCCACCTCCCACTGTAGCCTGTGCCAGACTGTACCCACCCCAGTACCATCTCCTCAGACTGCTGAACCTGTGTCTCCCCTCTAGGGGAGGACCCAGTGCCATCTTCCACAGCATATGCCCCTGGAGCATGCCTTTGTAGAAGTATGGTTGGCAGGTTCCCAGTGCCGGGCCCAAACCCAACCACAGTGCACCCACCCCAACCCCCATGCTCCTCTTTGGTACAAACAAGGTACAAGTAACCAGGCTTCTAGCCCCTCGGAGAGCCTGGACAACGGGGCCTCTGGTGGGGAGCATGAGGTGAGAACAAATCTCTGGGCAACAGGAAGAACTGAGAATGCAGGTCCTAGCCCCTCAGTAAGTGGCTGCAGTTCTGGTCTGTGGACTGATACAGTGTTGATTCTCACTGGGATGTAAATTAGTGCAATCTACAAAAGACTAAGGTAAGGGGTGGCAGGGCAAGGGGAGCCACAGCACTCCTTTGGTTTGATTTCAGGTGGGTGTGGCTTGAAGAGTCACATGTGAAGTTCTGCAAGAGGTTTCCCAGAACCTCCAAGTATAAGGCAAGAGGAAAAATCATCAACGAATCAGGTAGCAATTTTCCTTGTCCCCTGCCCCCCACCCTCTCTCTCTCCCAGCACTCATCAGCTCTTCCAGACACGACAAACTCCATGTTGACCAGTATTCTGGGAAGCCAGACCTGCTGGGTGGCCCTTAATGGAAAGCTGACAGGAGGCGGGCACCCATGGGTGGGCCGGGTCACCTTGTGCCAGCACCAGTGGCTACTGCAGGGGTTTGAAAGCCAGGGGAAAGCCTCGAGTCCAGGGAGAGGAAGTCAAAGCTTGGCTCTCTTGACTCACTGGAACAAGCTGGAGCTGTGCTAGAATCTGCAGAGCCTGGTCCCAGGCTGACAGGGAAGCAGCGGGTCACAGTGGGTGAGGTAAAGCTGGCTCCTGCTACCCTTGGAAGGCCTGGGGAGGCTAGAAAGGGGCCTGGTGGGCCTGTTTCTGGAAGGACCTTACCCCTTCTACATGCCCCTGCCCTTCCTTGGCCCATGACCCTCAGGTTTGGCCCAACTTCAGGGAAGACTGAATCTTCGGGAGTCTCCACCCTGGGGTGCACAGATGGGCACCCCAGGCCAAACTGAGGGCTCAGATGCCTTTCTCATATCCTGGTCTCCCTTTCTCCCATGTGGTCCTGAATCTATAGGACCCCTGCCCTCCCTCCCCCCAAGAGAACCACAGGCCAGCAACCTATGGCCCCTTAACCAAGTGCTGTGCTTCAAGCAGTGCCCCCCCAGGCCCCACTCTCCCGAAGGCAGCCCCAGCGTGAGCAGGAAGAGGCTACTGGGGGTTCTTGAGGATGCGGCCATGGCGGAAGTCATAGACATGGCGGCAAAGGAACACCAGCTCAGGGTCCGTGTCCTCTGGCACTGTGCGGTGTGGTGGGGTGGAGTAGTCTGAAGATGGGGGCACCAGTGCTGTCTTTCGGCTGGGAAGGCCCTCGCCCCGGCGCTTGGCCATGGCACAGAATCTGCAGCAACACACCATTACGGTCGTCAGAAGTCCCTTCTCCAGGAAAAAAAGCTCCTTCCCCGCCCTGCCCACTGAATGGGAACCGAGAGGTGACATTGCCTCTGCTCTTATCCCCAAGGCTGTGTGCGCTCTGACAACTTCCAGTTGACTTCAGCTCCTGACACATATGCCTTCCAGGGCTTCCTCCCCAAACACCTCCCTTTTCCTAGACTTTTCTCAGAACACTAGTGGGCCACAACACGATCACGAGAGTTGGGTTAACCTGTACTCTCCAATTATTCTATCTCAGGAGGGGACAGTTCTATCTGATAATCGAAAAATAAAATCCCAGCCAAGTGTGGTGGCACACACCTTTAATCCCAGCACTTGGGAGGCAAAGGCAGGAGGATCTCTCTGAGTTCGAGACCAGCCTGATCTACAGAGTGAGTTCCAGGCAGCCAGAACTACATAGAGACTGTCTCACACAAAACTAAAAAAAAAAAAGGTGTTAGAGCAGTGGATCTGAATCTTCCTAATGCTGCCACCCTTTAAAACAGTTCCTCATGCTGTGGTGACCCCCAACCGTAAAACGATTTTCATTGCTTCTTTGTAACTGTAACTTTGCTAGTTATGAATCATAGCGTAAATATCTGATTTCTGAGGGCTTTAGGCGACCTCTGTGAATGGGTGGCTTGACCCCAAGAGTTTCTCAAGAAACTCTTGGTGTTAGAGGGAAGGTTTTAGGGAAGAACATTTTGAACCAGTAAGACTGGGCCCAGAGCATAAAGTGATCCATGCAGTTCCCCCAAATTACCCTCACTGAGCCCAAGGGGAGAGGCCAGCCACGGGCACAGGGTACTACCCACCTGCAGTACTCGGCGAAGGTCAGCACATAGCACTTCTCTTCAATGCAGGCCACACTGTTCTGGTCCTGATGTCTCGATGCAAAAACTTCATTCTGCAAAGGCTCAAGGGGAGACGGGAGCAGGTTGGTTATGGGAGCTAGAAAGAGGCACCTCACTCCAGAACAAGGCAGGCATGACTCCTCTGCAGGGAATGCTGACCTGAGCCAATACCAGCAAGCAACAGAGTCAGTTTTATCTAAGTCTTGACCCCTGGCTGCCCACACCAGCCCTAAGAGGAAAAGATATTGGTCCCTTTCTCCCCCATGAGATAAAAAGTCCCACTAAAGGGGGTGGCACATGCCTTTAGCCCTAGCAGATACATCTCTGTAAGTTCAAGGCCAGCCGGGTCTACCCATAGCAAGTTCCAGATTAGCTAGAGCTGTATGGTGAGATGCTGTCTTGACCGAGAGAGAGAGAGAAAGGGAGAAAAGTCCCTTCCAAAGAAAGGAAATAAAAGGTAAGCTCAGACCCCTCTCAGCCACAGGTAATAAAAGGAGTTAGGTGCACAGGGCCACCTCACCCTGTTGTTAGGACGTAACTGCTCACTCCCATCTTCAGGGTGCTGGGGCTCAAGGGTCATTACTCCCATTTGGAACATAAGTTGGGACAGTGTTTGGGAGAGGCTAAACCCCAGATGACGTGGAGGAGGACTTGGTTATTTCCTAGCTGTCTTTTCCATATGCCATGTCTTAATCCCACAGCCTCATGTGTGTGCCACCCTGCTGCACCCCCTTGCCAGGCAGCTCACCTCGTGCATGCTGGGGCTGCGGCCTCCCTGCAGGTGCTCAGGCCTGTAGTACCACAGGAGGCTCATCATCAGTTCTCCTAGAGGGGACAACGGAAGAGGTCATGGCTGAGCTGGCAACCCTGCTTATTTAAGACAGGCTGGCCACTTGCCTAGAGGTTTGTCCAACCCCAGCTCCTGGCCCAATCCTGCAGGCTCTGGCCACCTGTGTCCCCTGACCAAGGCCAAGCACTCAGCAGCCTGGAATGCTGTCAGACATGGAGAGATGGACAGGAAGGCACTGACGGGCAAGGCGTGGGGCAAGTGCTTGGGCTCTGGTGGCTCAGAAAGCACATGGATCCAACTTAAGTCACAAGTTGCTGGAGTCTCTGCAGCAAAGAGACCCCAGCTGAAGGGCAGGCAGACTCTGCCAAGAACGGTGGTCTTGTGCCAGGCCAAATTCTAGGCAGGGGCCAACTGAAGGCAGCTGTCCCTTGGGTTCCCAGTCTGAGGGACAGGTACCTGACTCAGGGTTCTCCCAGAGAGCGGAGATCTTGGCCACATAAGGTGTAGACGTCTTTCTTGGGCCTGACTTGAGGAGGACAGTGTCTCGGACTCGGATTGTCTCTCCATGTCGCTCAACTGCCTGGTAGCTCTTTCGGATGGCAGGTTCCGGCTCATCCTGGGCAATGAACCAATGGCACAATTAAGTTTGGAGAGCTACACTCCAGAGTGAGGATGGAGGAAGCAGAGAATAAAATCCCCTTGACTTCAGGACAGTCGGCCCCCTAAGCAGAGCTGCAGGGTGGGTCCTCCTCTCCAAGTCTGGCTTTTGAGGGCAGGGGTGGGGGTGGGGAACGCTTATGCTTGGAAACCAGTAATGTGAATGTGGCAGGAATGTGGCTGGCTCTCTAACCATCTGGGCTAATGGAGTGGTCCGAGTTTGAGCCCTTAAATCACCATTTTAGGTGGCAGAGCCTTGGGAAAGTTATCTGAGCCTCAGTTTCCTTCCCTATCAAAGGGACCGTAGGGTACATACTACATACGGTAGTGGTAAAGACTAAAGAGGATGAAGCGTGCGGAGCACTTATCTTAGTTCTAACATGCAATTTCAGAAGTGTGCATGCATTTTAGTCAACACAGTTTTCTCTCTCCTGGTGTTGCTCCATCACTAACTTTCTGGTCCACCCCAACTCCCCTATACAGTGTGGGACGGAAGGTGGATCGAGCAGGATGAGAGGCTGAAGTGTCCCGTGTCTTACTGCCCCCCCGCCCCCCCATCAGCCATGTACTAACACTCACTCACTCACCAGGACATACACCGCCTTCTCACAGGCAGCGCCCACAGGCACCCAGCCATTAGTGCGGCGGCGACGGCGGCGGCGGGGACGTGGGCGCTGGGCACGCGGCTGCTTGGGGTGGCTGGGTCTGCGGGCAGCCTTGCTCCTCACAGTGTACCTACAGCTGGAGCCTGTGCGCAAACCAGACTTGGAACCGCTGGGAGGCTTGGCACTCTGAGGGCATGCCCGGGCTACCGTCTGGGGCTCCGAGGTGGGTGTCTGAAGATGGGGGATGGGCTCTGCTGCAGGTGGCACACTGGGCACAGGGCATCCCAGGAGGGGGTGAGCAGGTGAGGCTGGATGGCCAGCTTCTGGGAGAGGAAATTCCAGCTGGCCGAGGGACCTGCAGCCTTCTAGAAAAAGGAGAGCGGGTCAAGGTAGGTAGACACCCTGCACCCTCCAGCCATCTGCTTTCAGGTCCCAAGCCTGGCTTAGTGCCAAGGTGCAACTCAAAGGCCAGTGAGGCGGGGTGGGGGGTGGCGGGTGGGACAAGGGCCTTTCTTCACCTTGGAAACTGGCCAGCAGACATTTGTGTGTCCCATTCTAACCGGAAGAAGTGACAGCAAAAATATCTTCGTTAGCTCTGACTTAAACTTCTCTAGGGTTTCCAGAATACTCAGGAGCAGGGGTTCTGGAGTCAGACAGCCTGGGATGTGAGCCCCGTACCTACCACTTACCAGCCATGTGACCTCAGGCAAGTCACTCTGGCCCCTCTGTGCAATGTTAAGTAATGCTTACGAGCATGACACAGAATTTTCCTTATTTACATATTAACTCATTTCACCCTTACAACATCCCCCAGGTAGGTACTATTACTGCGGCTTTACAATGGAGGAAACAGACACAGCAGTTACTGGCTTAGCCAATGGTCATGAGGAAAGGGAGCTGCGGAGAACATTTCAATCCAGGTAGTTTGGTGGAGTCTGCCTAATTACATGCCTTGTGACTGTGTGTCAAGGACTGGGAATGGTGTTTGGCACACAGTGCTTATGGGTGGTCTCGCTTATAGGGGTAAAGACTAAGGGTCTAAGAGGAAAAGCCAGGAAGTAGCCTGCTCTTGTTTCTCAGGACTCCAATCCATGCTGGAAGCTGATATAACCAGTCTGGCCAGAGCCAAGTGGTCTATAAAGCTGTTTTATAGACCCCGACATGAAGGGGCGTGGGGGAGGAGGGAAGAGCCCAGGGAAGGCCCAGCCCTCACCTCCCTTGCACAGGGCAGACCTGCTGGTCAGGATGGCTTTAGTCACCTCCTTTCTACCAAGAAGCTGGAGGGAGCCAGCTGGGGAGAAGGTGTGGATGACCTTTCCAGTCCGGGGCTGCTTTTCCAGCTGAGCACGGACCGTTCCTGGGTCTCAGATGACAGACTGAGGGTACCGAACCCCCTGCAGCATGCCGAGCACTGCTGGCCTCTTCTTGAGTGTGCCCGCCCACCCACCCTGTCTACACCCACACAACTATCCACACAATGCCCTATCTGCTCTCCTTGTCTTTTTCAAAGCCTGCAGAGCCAGGGCAAAGCTGTCCCACCAACCTGGGGCTGCTTCCTCAGCCCAGAACCGCCAACCTTCCTATGAAGGCTAAACTCACCAGCATGGAGACTGACGGTCTGAACTCCTGAACATGAAGAATGTTAAGCTTTCCAAGGATGAGGGAGACCCCAGGATATGAGGGACATGGGAATGCCTTGGTAAAAGTCCTAGTTTGTCCCTGCCCCACCTCCCACGATTGCAACTGAACCTAGGACCTCACGTATGCTACGTAAACCAACACTCAACATCACTGAGCTCCAGCCCTTTTTCTTGTTTCTGTTTGAGAAGGGTCTCTTTCTTGTATGGAACTCCTTATCCCCCTGACTCAACCTTCTGTGCAGCTGAGCTTACAGACTTGTACCACAGGGCCTACCTAAGGCCCTAATTTCTGTATCTAAGAGTCTAAGAAAGGGAATCCCAATGTGGGAGGAGAGACCTTGTCCCGTTACATAGCCATGTTAACTTCCAAGCTAAGAAATCTCACTGACGGCTTGGGGAAAGCAGGGCCTAAGGGCTAACCGTGGGGCCCTTTCCTGGGGTGTTACTAGGCCCAGAACATTGCATAAATGAGTAGACCTCCCTTCTCCAAGTTCCCCGCCTCCTAGGTAGTAGCTAGACTTAGCAGAGCCCCCTGTCCAGAGCTATATCCCAGGCTCCTGGGATGCCATGCCTTAAGAACTCCCCAGTATATGATGTGTCCCCTACAAGGCTTACCTGCTGTAAAAGGCATTTTGTAGGGGCAGCCGCCACAGGTAGTGCCAATGTGGGTGAGAGACAAGGGTAACACTCCACAGATGCTGTAGCCGTTCACTCCAGTGTCCTCACTGGAGCAGTAGCGAGATGAGCTCCAAGGCGGGTGCTGGAAAGGGATGCCGGAGGGCACTGAGCTCGGAGACATGAGGAGCCCCTCACTGGGGGCTGCCACGGGAGACACCTTGCCTTCTGGGAGCATGGGGCAAGGGGAGTAGCTCCCACACTGCAGCCCGTCCTGGCCACAGTACAGGTAGAAGCTGCCTAGTGCAGTGAGCTCAGGTCCTCCACACAGACCACTATAGTCGGCTGGATTGCCGGGCAGCGGCAGTGGAGACAGCTGAGGTGCTGGGAAAGAGGGCTGATGCAGTTCCTGCTTGGGGGCAGGCGACTCTTCACCTGGACGCCCAGGCTCTGGCTTCAGGGATGCCTGCCCACCCATCAGCAGAGGCAGGTGGGGGCGCAAGGGGTCCTCCAGAGCCTTGCCTGGGGCCTGGTGAGATGGCTGGATGGGTGGCCCACGAGGAGTAGCAGATGGACAAGGCTCATCAGGCTGTTCTTGCCAGCTGGGGGGCCCTGTGGTCTCCCCAGAGCCGGCCCCCTGCCGAGCCTTAGGACAGTTCTTGCCGTTGACCTTGGCCCACTTTGGCCGAAGGATCTTGGGTGCCAGGGGCTCAGTGGAGCGCCCATCTGCTTCTGCTTGGGCTCGAGAAGGTCGAAGAGGCAGCTCCCGCTCCTGGCTGAGTTTCAAGAAGGCAGCTGCGTTTAAGCTAGCCAGTCTCTTGGGAGCTGGGTCTCCATCTCGACGGGCAGCTTCATCTGGGGCTGGCTCTGGGGACAGGTCCCGACTTCCTTCTCCAAGATCTCCCAGCCGAGGTCGCTTCTTAGAGAAAGACCAGGCCCCTGTGGCCCGGTCCCGGCTCCGGTGAGAGTCCCCCCCTCGGCTTCGGCGGGCACCTGCCAGGCTGCTCATGTCCTCTCGCTCCAGCAGCAGATTATTGAGGGCCTCTGCATTAAGGGAGGCCAGGCGCCGCTTTCGGGGCTGCACAAGACCAGTGTCCTCACTGGATGGGGCCGGACTAGGGGGCTTGGGCAGGTCAGGGGGCAGCTCGTCAGCCTCGTCTGCGCTTCGTGGACCAGCCACATTTTCCAGGCGAGTCAGCAGCACTTTGCAGGCTTTGGGCTTTTCTGGAACCAGTGAACGTTTACGCAATGGGTAGTTCTTGCGGCGCCCTGTGAGATGCCCAGGGCTCTCAGGCATGCCTGGCTCTACATCTTCACCCCCCTGCTCCATATTGCTGTCTTCCATCTGCAGGGGCTCCCCTCGGCCAGTGGGGCCGGAACTAAGCATAGGAAGGGACTTCCTCCGAGTGTGTGTCATGGAATCCCTCCAACCTGTGGGAAGAGGGCAGGCAATGAGAAGACGTGGTCACTGTCTTCTTTTCCCTCCACTGCAGCCCACCCACCCTCACCTGTAATTACTCTGGCTCACTCCTACTCTGTCTCCCTTGGAATTTCCTAGGACTTGTCTTCCAGATGCAGTCAGACTACCAGGAGTTGTGCAAGAACTGGCTCCCCCTGTCTCCTTCTAGCACCTAGTCCCCATGAAATAAGCCCCAGAAAGCCTGGTAAATGACACAGGGCACCGTCTCCAGTGCCAAGGCACAGGAGGAGCCAAAGGCTACGGTCAGACCTCCTCTTCTGCTCCTCTTATGCTCAAGAAGAGGAGGCTCTGAAAACACAGCCAGAATGGGGCTTAGGTGATAGGAGCTTTTTAAGAAACAGGACCAGCCAGGCCGGTGGTGGCGCACGCCTTTAATCCCAGCACTCGGGAGGCAGAGCCAGGCGGAGCTCTGTGAGTTCGAGGCCAGCCTGGGCTACAGAGTAAGTTCCAGGACAGGCTCCAAAACTACACAGAGAAACTCTGTCTCGAAAAACCAAAACAAACAAACAAAAAAAACCCACAAACCAAAAAACAGGACCAAAATACTACCAACTCCTCCCTCAATTCTGGGCTTCCAAGACTACCCATAGGAGGATAAAGAGATGGGCCGAGAGAGGTGTTGAGAGAACCTGCCTGCTGGGCAGGGGAGGAGGTTCCCTCCACCCAGCAAGAGAGCCATAACTTCTCCTTCTGGAAAACCCTAAGAAAGGTGAGGCCCTAGGCTGCCCTAGGAGGCAGCCCCCACATAATCTGGTCAGATTCCAGGGAAAGGCAGCTCAGAGTGCCAGGGTTGGGAAAGGACATTAGGCTAGGATCAAAGCTGGCACAGGAGAAAAACCAGTGGTCCTTGTAAGTCTTGCTCTGCCCCTCAGTTTTCCCTGATAGGAAAGATGCCAGGTATGAGCAGGAAGGGGGTGGGGGAGGTCTCAGGAAGCCTGGGGATGCCCATGACCAGGCACAATCCCTACCTTTGGCTTTGCAGATGTCCCTACTATATACACTCAGGGGCAGCCTGATCTCAGTTCTCAGTAATAAAGGCCGGAGCTGGCTGCACTGTGCACACTTGTACCGTGAAGGCTATGCAGAACCGCAGGGGTGAGGGAGGGCGGCCAGACTCCAGAGCCGTTCACCTCCTATCTACTCTCCACAGAGCCAGGCTGCCAAGTGAGGTGCCAGACAGTCCACACTTCTCCTCCCCAGGCACCTCCGGGACCCCTCCCCACCCAGCAGGCCAGGCTTTTCAGCTTGGTTTCCTCACTATTGTTATTCATGCCGGGAGAGGTCCCTGGTGGGCGGGGACTTAACCCCGAGGATCCCAAGCCTGAGGGTTTCCAGGCTTTGCCTGGTTCTTCCCGGTTAGTTTTGTGGTCTTCGGCCATTAGTGGGGGTCACTGGGTGCCTTCTCTCCACAGACAAGCTGCACTAGCCTAGAAAGGGTGTGGAGAAAACTCAGCTGATGGGGCAGTGGACATAACCCTCATGGAGAGAGGACTAGGAAACTGCAAAAGGAAGAGGCAATGGGCCATGTGTGGGGACCTGCCACTTGTCCAGAAATCGGGCCCCAGGCATGAGAGTCACAGAGGGCAAATCCATTCATTCCTAAACGGCAGAGCTCAGAACAATCCCAGGCATCTGTGAGGCCTTCAGTCTCTTTTCTGCTTCCAATCAGTGACCGCTGTCCTGGCTGCTCGGCATACTCGCCAGCATGCCCCTTTCACATTCAAAAGCATCCCAAGTGCAGACAACCCACAGACCCCTTTCTCTAACCAGGAGGCACCCTGTGCCAGCGGCGGAGTAACCAAGAACAAGCAGCACCACAACTTTATCTGCACTTCTGGGCAAAGCCGAGTCCTGTTTCCCCACTCCCAAGGAGCTTGGAGATGCAGGATGAGTGAATAGACAAAGAAGCTAAACACGGGCTGAAGCCCCTCAACAGGCCCCAAGTCGCCAGAGCATCTGGGCCTGGGAATGGCTGGGGGCCAAGGGTGAGGTCACCTGGGCCTGTGGCCTTTGAGGACACGGACACCAAGCACAGAGCAAAGGGGGTGGGGGCAGGAAAGAGCATAAACATGCGAACAGGACGGCTAGTGAAGGGCTCTGAGCAGGGAGGATGGCTGCCTGCTGGAGGCTGGTTACATGGTGGGTTGACCGTCCTGGGATACCTGTCTGTCCGTACTCAGTCTTTCCCTCTCAGCTCCCAAAAGGTCCCAAGCAGAGAGGTGGGAAGCAGCAGCAGTGGCCACTTTCAGGAGCCTGTTCCTGGAGTGTTGTGTTCCCTGTAGAGATGGTTTCACTTTAACCTCCCATTCAGTACTCCAGCCTCTCAGGGAGCCACTGCCCCTGAGGGCTGGACATCCGGTAAACCTCTACATCACAGGGTGCAAGTCCTGTTTCCAAGCCAAGCACAGGAGCCTCCTGCTTGCCTCCTGTGCATCTGCCAAACCTCCTGTCACTGGCTAAGGACTACTAGAGCCATCAAAGCACATTGCAAAATAACCCCTGGCTTTCATGTGGTGCCTCAGGTGGCAGCGGTCTTGAGGAGAGGCTGGGGTCTCTGCTGCCAGCTTCTGCTGTACTTGGATATGAGGAGAGCTGGTGTGAGTCATGCTTTGAAGCACCTGTGAGAACCTCATCAGCAGCTTTTCCCTGGGGTGGGGCTGGGTGGAGGGGCTTGCAGTCTGCCAGGGCCCCTCCGAACTGCAGGAGGTGGCCCAGCAGCGCCAGTGGGGGGTGGGATCCCAGGTGCACAGTAGCCCTGGCCCCCCATTCCAGGAGGATAGACGTTCCTGCTGACCCTCTATTTACATTAGTTCAACCAGGAACTTTCTACTGTCAAGTGATGAGGCTAGAGCAATTTAGCACTGCTCTTCTCTCTGGAAGCCCTGTCCCTGCACAAACAATCCTGGCCCCTAGAGAGAAGGTTCCTGGGAAGGACACCCCCAGGGCAATTACCTTTTACCTAGCTGGTATCAAGCAAGCTCTCACTGGGAAAAACCAGTCTGACTGTCACCAGCCCTGAACAGCTGCCCTGAAGGACAGTGGCTGGTCAAAGGGCTTCCAGGTCAAAGACCCCACAAGTTGATTCCAAAATCCCTGTAAGTATATGCCAAAGTTGGCAAGCAAGCGATCTCCACTCTAGGTACGTCAAAGGCTCAAAACTGAGGGGGTTTTGATCTGAGGTGTCAGGGTGCGAGGGGCTAGGCTTCAGTGTGACTCAGATCTGCCTAGGGCTAGCAGAAGCCATCCCCGGAAGCAGCAAAGGCAAGGTGTTCGGTCACCACATACCACTCTGATCTACAGAGGCAGTGCATATGCTGGGTGCTACGTGTCCAGCTGAAGGCTTCAGCAAGGGAGGTCAGAGGCCTGGGCCACAGGTCAGAGTACGCATCACTCCCATAAACTCAATCTAGCCCTGGGTAGAAGAGATCCTTAGACCGCCTTCTGCTCCTCTATGCACACAGTGCCTCCATCAGTGTCCTCGGTCTCAGGACTGGGGCTGTTCTAGCCCTGAAGGGAGTAACCTTTGTCAGGAACACCGGCTCTCTTGACTCTTATCTCCTGTGGTAAAGCCAGGCGCAGGTGCTGCCAGGTCTTCCCATCTCTTTAGTGAGAAGCGGACAGAACCGAGAGTCGAAGGGCGGCAGGCAGGCCTGGCTCTGGGGCTGGCTGCAGCTCAGTGGCAGAAGGCTTGTCTACCACGTACAGGGTCCTGGGCTCCACTTTCAGCTGAGCAAAAGTGCAAAACCAAAGCTGGCTCAGACCCAAATGAACAACTTACTTAAACTTCTCTGAACTTGAGGTTCCTTGTCTGAAACTGACATACCAAAATAAACCTTACCTCTCAGCACTAACAAGGATGGCAAGACACTGTGGGGAAGCCTGGTGGAGAGCAGAAGCTGTCCTCCCCCTCCCGGCCACCAAAGAGGTACCTAACATCAGTTCCCTACAGCAGGAGCCCAGGACAGCCTGGGCGAGAATCCAAACATCCAGCCTGCACTTGAACTCTGCTCTGGTACTATTCTGCCAAGGACACCCAAATGTCTATCCCTTTCCCTTGTGGAGTCAGTATGGTGTGGATGGGGGGGAGATGGGAACATATTCAGGACGGGGCCAGGATAGCAGGTGTTCTGCCCACCCCAGGATCTGACCGAGGATCCATGGCAGGTACCCACAAAAACTCTGGGAACCACCCACTAAGAGAACGGTGGCTCTGGCCACCAGCCCTGCCAGTCTGGCATCGCTTGCTGCAGGTACTCAAGTCACCTTGCACCTGAGCTTAATTATAGAAACACCCGGGCAGGAAAGGCAGCACAGTGCACAACCAGAGGGAACTGGTCCCGCCCATCTGGGAAGTCACACCTGCCATCCAGAGGTACCAATACTGTCTAGAGCCTGTAAGTCCAACCTGCTCCTCACGGGTCACACTGAGGCCTTTAGGACACCAGAGACCCATAGTGAGTAGCTGGAAAGTCATGCCCATCCCACGTAGGCAGGGTCTGGGTATGTCAGCTCAGCCCGACGGCTAGGTCTGACTTTTTTTTTTTTATCAGTTCTGACCACCCCAGCATGAGAGCCAAAGCCAGCCAGCCAGGTCTCTTCCAGTAACCGTAAAGGTGCATGGATCCACTGGGAGGGAGGAGTTCTAACTCAGGCCACAGACTACCATGTCTGTCAGAGATCAAAGTGTAGGGTAGTCACAACAGAAATACTAAGTTTTCTCAGATGGTCAGAAACTGCCAGTCCTCAGTGTGGAGCTAACGTCCTTCCTCCAGGTAGGGGGTAAAGCCAGCACCTCTCCCAACTATAGGTCTCTAAGCAAGGGCAGTGGGCAGAGAGTACTGTGCTGTAGTAGTTCATTAGTAGTATCCACATTCTGCTCCACAAAACAGACAGATTAGAAGGTAATCACATGCAATACCAACTAGTCTTTAGGGGTTTCCTTTAACACTTT